CACCATGTCCTGTTCCTGGTCTTCGGTAGGTATTTTGAAAGGCAATGGCCTCGGTAAAAGAGCAAGTGACTAGCTTTGCAGGTACAGTTTCCATGGACCCACTGAAGGCCTCTGTCTTGTTTCTGTCTTCAGCTTGGAGAAGCTGGTCTCCCAGCCTCACTGTCTTCCTGGCATTGGTAGTGACACTGAGGTCACTTCTACTGCTGGTACTTTTACTCCCTCTTACACACCAGTAGCATGTTATAAACTGTATGGTGTGTCAAGGGGCACAATTTCTCTGTTAGGATGGAGAAGACACCTGTGCACAGAGAAGTTTAAATCTAAACTAATAAAGACTTACGAAGCAATGGTGAAGCATTTGAAAAAAATCCTCCACAGTTTAATTATACTTGCTTTTGTTCTTAAAAAGACCCACATGATCCACACACATTATATTTAAAAAAAAAAAACCTTAATTTTTAAATAACATATTTCTTTGCCATTACATACACTTAGATAAAATCTAAATACAACTGAATATATTAGAAGAGCTAGGTAATTAGTACACCTTTTTGTAAAATAAAAGTCACCTTAAATTTTACTATCAGTTACTCAAAAATCTTTGAGGAATAATATTGTTTGGCTTAAATTCATCTCAATCAATAATTGAAATAATTTGATACTGCAGTGTACAAGTACACTGTAGATTTTGACAAGTTACTGATAATAACTAGATTTTATCATCCCAATTGCCCTCGTGTTAAAAAAGCACAGTCGTGGTTGTGACAGAAAACTTGTATTGTACCTGTTGGTAATGGTTACAAGTGCCGGGGGACAGTAATAGCCACTGGAGGCATGGTCAAAGCTGCGAAGGATGGTGTCAATTTTGTAACAGAATCCACCATGTCTCTCCCATCCCTTAAACAAAGAAAGGGAAAATTGAGGACATAATCTGGTTCAGTTAAATAGCAAAATATCTTTTTTTGCGTAGTCTCATTTGTCACTTAACTTTTTCCTCTGACCCACTCAGCTTGAAACTTGAATTTTTGTCTTTATATATTTGTATGTATTCCATTTGCCAATGCCCTAAGCTACAACCACTTCTACATTTATTTAATTAATTCTTGAGACCTAATAGTTTTAACTGACTTGAAATCTTAAAAACCTACAACAAAACAAATGAAAGCAAAGGGGCGCTCATTCAAGGTGTCTCTCTCTCTCTCTCTCTCTCTCTTTCTCTCTCTCTCTCTCTCTCTCTCGTTACAGAATTTCATACACATGGTTCCTACAGAACGGAAGTGTGCTGGCTTTGAAGACAGAATACAGGGGTTTGAACCCTGGGTCCACCACCACGTGACTTTACTTAATCCTTCTATGTCTTAGTTTTATCTGTAGAATGGGGATAATAATAATATCCAAGGGTTGCTCTGAGATTCAAAGGGAGACAATGCAGGCAGGCAGAGACCTTGAATAGAGCTGGGAACTCAAGATGAGCAAAGGGAGCATATGTATCTAGGAAACAGTATATATTTTTTCAACTTTCTTTCATATTGTTCACTGCTTGTTATCCTACTGAGATTCACTAGGGTCAGCAACTAGATAAACTAACAGACGTAGTGGATAAACTGGACTGGAGCCCAGTTCTGGTGCGATCCAGATAGTCTTTGACTGGATCGTAATGCTTCCAAACAGACATTGGTCAACATGTTTTTGGTGAGGTTAATTATTATTTGTTTTTCTTTTTTTTTGTTGTTGTTGGTGTTGTTAAGATTAGTCCTAAATCAACTGGCTAGACTTCTAGAGAGAAAGCAAGCCAACTTCTGGCACTTGGGTAAAAATGACAAACGTGCAGCTCCAGGGCTCAGCCCTGGGGCAGGAAGTGGCTGTGTTCTTTAAAATCACGCAGCCCAGCAAACACGCACTCATTAGCCTTCTGTATTTCAACTGAGTTACGTTAGTTCTTTTTCTTCCAGTACTACAGAATCACATCACTTCCATCTATTTTTACATATTCGCTGGTTTTAAAATACACTTCATTTTGTGCCCTGCCAATACTTGCCAGATTTTGATCAGATGTAAAATGATCTCTGCTATATTTCTTGGAAAAGGTCTTGGCCTTGCAGTAAATCACAAAAAACCGTATTTTAGAAATCAGCTATTTTTGTTCAGAACATGTTCTTAAATGAGATGTGGGTCGCAGGCGTTTCACAGCCAGCCAGCTAGGATGTGCTCGGAACCGCTGCTCACGGCTCCCTCCCGCCTTATCTGTGGGTGACTGACAGCTCCAGCCAGAACCCTTCCGCGGGTCACTCCAGATGGGCTGGGAGGTTAGACTCCCTTTGCATTTGGAGGACAGGTAGAGGAAAGCTGACCATCTGACCTTTCTGACAGAATCCTTCCTTCTTTACTAGTAGTTTTTAGACCACAGGATGCTTCACAAAACAAAAAATCCAAGAGCTGAACAGGCGGAAGAAAAGAGGGAAGAATGTGGCATAGTAATCTCCGGAAAAACAAAGCCTCTTTACTACAAGCCTTTGTCCACACAATGATAGTGGGAAGAATAATCGATTGTATCCATGAATATCCTTTGTACGTGAGGTGCCATTTCATTTTTCAGTGACTGTGAAGGGGTATGTGGGGGGACTTGGTGAAGGGGGGAGCCTAGTAATCATAATGTTCTTCATGTAATTGTAGATTAATGATACCAAAATTTAAAAAAAATGCAAATTAAAACAAAACAGGTGAGACAATTAGACTTACTATCTCTAGTGAAAAACATAATTAAAGTATAATTAACAGAAGCATAGCTTCATTGGTCAGGATCCTGAATAGAGAACTAATACTGACTTACTGATGGAGGACTTCCAACCCAAGGTGCTCTTGAAACCTTTTGAGAGGCTGAACAAGTTGAGGATAAATGTTTCTTTCAGCCTGGTAGCTATTCTGGGAAGGTGACAGGTAGAACTAAAAACAGCATGGAGCTATATCAAAGGTGGTGCTATACCCTGAAGGAAGGGTCTCCTGCGTGTAAACTATTTCACCAGTCAATTTATTTCCAGACACTGTCAATCCATTCCTCTGTGTGCAAGCACATGCTCATTTGTATGTGTGTGCATCCCTGTGTGTTTGGAAGAAAGACTGGGAAAGAAGGTAAGAGGAGGAAGGAAAGGTGGCTTTGAATGTGACTGCCTATGTGAGGAGAGCAGGGAAAGCACACAGAATTCCTTCTGTAGTTTAGACGTACCGGTGAAGGGTCTTTAGACAAAACCATTGCACCATGTCCTGTTCCTGGTCTTCGGTAGGTATTTTGAAAGGCAATGGCCTCGGTAAAAGAGCAAGTGACTAGCTTTGCAGGTACAGTTTCCATGGACCCACTGAAGGCCTCTGTCTTGTTTCTGTCTTCAGCTTGGAGAAGCTGGTCTCCCAGCCTCACTGTCTTCCTGGCATTGGTAGTGACACTGAGGTCACTTCTACTGCTGGTACTTTTACTCCCTCTTACACACCAGTAGCATGTTATAAACTGTATGGTGTGTCAAGGGGCACAATTTCTCTGTTAGGATGGAGAAGACACCTGTGCACAGAGAAGTTTAAATCTAAACTAATAAAGACTTACGAAGCAATGGTGAAGCATTTGAAAAAAATCCTCCACAGTTTAATTATACTTGCTTTTGTTCTTAAAAAGACCCACATGATCCACACACATTATATTTAAAAAAAAAAAACCTTAATTTTTAAATAACATATTTCTTTGCCATTACATACACTTAGATAAAATCTAAATACAACTGAATATATTAGAAGAGCTAGGTAATTAGTACACCTTTTTGTAAAATAAAAGTCACCTTAAATTTTACTATCAGTTACTCAAAAATCTTTGAGGAATAATATTGTTTGGCTTAAATTCATCTCAATCAATAATTGAAATAATTTGATACTGCAGTGTACAAGTACACTGTAGATTTTGACAAGTTACTGATAATAACTAGATTTTATCATCCCAATTGCCCTCGTGTTAAAAAAGCACAGTCGTGGTTGTGACAGAAAACTTGTATTGTACCTGTTGGTAATGGTTACAAGTGCCGGGGGACAGTAATAGCCACTGGAGGCATGGTCAAAGCTGCGAAGGATGGTGTCAATTTTGTAACAGAATCCACCATGTCTCTCCCATCCCTTAAACAAAGAAAGGGAAAATTGAGGACATAATCTGGTTCAGTTAAATAGCAAAATATCTTTTTTTGCGTAGTCTCATTTGTCACTTAACTTTTTCCTCTGACCCACTCAGCTTGAAACTTGAATTTTTGTCTTTATATATTTGTATGTATTCCATTTGCCAATGCCCTAAGCTACAACCACTTCTACATTTATTTAATTAATTCTTGAGACCTAATAGTTTTAACTGACTTGAAATCTTAAAAACCTACAACAAAACAAATGAAAGCAAAGGGGCGCTCATTCAAGGTGTCTCTCTCTCTCTCTCTCTCTCTCTCTCTCTCGTTACAGAATTTCATACACATGGTTCCTACAGAACGGAAGTGTGCTGGCTTTGAAGACAGAATACAGGGGTTTGAACCCTGGGTCCACCACCACGTGACTTTACTTAATCCTTCTATGTCTTAGTTTTATCTGTAGAATGGGGATAATAATAATATCCAAGGGTTGCTCTGAGATTCAAAGGGAGACAATGCAGGCAGGCAGAGACCTTGAATAGAGCTGGGAACTCAAGATGAGCAAAGGGAGCATATGTATCTAGGAAACAGTATATATTTTTTCAACTTTCTTTCATATTGTTCACTGCTTGTTATCCTACTGAGATTCACTAGGGTCAGCAACTAGATAAACTAACAGACGTAGTGGATAAACTGGACTGGAGCCCAGTTCTGGTGCGATCCAGATAGTCTTTGACTGGATCGTAATGCTTCCAAACAGACATTGGTCAACATGTTTTTGGTGAGGTTAATTATTATTTGTTTTTCTTTTTTTTTGTTGTTGTTGGTGTTGTTAAGATTAGTCCTAAATCAACTGGCTAGACTTCTAGAGAGAAAGCAAGCCAACTTCTGGCACTTGGGTAAAAATGACAAACGTGCAGCTCCAGGGCTCAGCCCTGGGGCAGGAAGTGGCTGTGTTCTTTAAAATCACGCAGCCCAGCAAACACGCACTCATTAGTCTTCTGTATTTCAACTGAGTTACGTTAGTTCTTTTTCTTCCAGTACTACAGAATCACATCACTTCCATCTATTTTTACATATTCGCTGGTTTTAAAATACACTTCATTTTGTGCCCTGCCAATACTTGCCAGATTTTGATCAGATGTAAAATGATCTCTGCTATATTTCTTGGAAAAGGTCTTGGCCTTGCAGTAAATCACAAAAAACCGTATTTTAGAAATCAGCTATTTTTGTTCAGAACATGTTCTTAAATGAGATGTGGGTCGCAGGCGTTTCACAGCCAGCCAGCTAGGATGTGCTCGGAACCGCTGCTCACGGCTCCCTCCCGCCTTATCTGTGGGTGACTGACAGCTCCAGCCAGAACCCTTCGCGGGTCACTCCAGATGGGCCGGGAGGTTAGACTCCCTTTGCATTTGGAGGACAGGTAGAGGAAAGCTGACCATCTGACCTTTCTGACAGAATCCTTCCTTCTTTACTAGTAGTTTTTAGACCACAGGATGCTTCACAAAACAAAAAACCCAAGAGCTGAACAGGCGGAAGAAAAGAGGGAAGAATGTGGCATAGTAATCTCCGGAAAAACAAAGCCTCTTTACTACAAGCCTTTGTCCACACAATGATAGTGGGAAGAATAATCGATTGTATCCATGAATATCCTTTGTACGTGAGGTGCCATTTCATTTTATATGAAACAACAAGGACAACAATACAGAAACAACTGTTCCTTTTGTCCAATCACAAAAAAAAGGGACTCGGAGAGAAAAAATATATATATTTTTGCTTTGAAATTATCAAGAGTTATTTTATGAGTTGATGGTGCATGTGTAGACTGTTTAGAGAATTGCACTGAAATAACTGACTTAAAGAAAGGAACCATATTCATAGGTCGATGCATAAAGAAATTAATGAGAATTTTGCCATAAAGTTATAGAACTGGCTCTGAACTCAATCTTTAAATACTGGTTAATGCTGGAAAGAAAAGGGAAGCAGTGTACAAAGGTTTGAAAATTATGTTGAATTGCCTTGAAAGCCACAGTAAGACAATTTTTTCCAAATATTTCTGATCAGATAGAGATTAGATCAGTGATCAGCTATAACTACTTCAGGAATTAGAATCACTAGGTAAATGTAGAGAAGCATATCAGCTTGGCACATGTATTATTCAGCTAACGTGTAAAGAGTAATTTACAGTTTTCACATTGATAAATGAATAAAATGCAGTTTCTGGATAGGTGGGTCATTGCTTAACTGGAACATAAATAACTGAATTAGAAATGAAAATAGTTAAAGCAGAATTAGAAAACAAAATAGTTAAAAGAAAATAGTTAAATTGCCTAAAAACCAGGTTTGCAAAATTTGGGGTACTCAAACAGCATAAAAATCTCCAATATTTAAATCCAAATTCTTTAGTGTGCGTGCGTGTGCATGTGCGTGTGTGTGTGTGTGTGTGTGTGAGAGAGAGAGAGAGAGAGAGGGAGGGAGGGAGGGAGGGAGAAGGAGAGAGGGAGAGCTAATATGCTGAGGACACTGCTGATAGGTAGATTTCTGTAACTTCAGGATATTGAATGTATTCTAAAAAATTTAAAACATTATTTTTTCCCTTTTAATTTTTAACCTAAAGAATTACGTATCTTTTATTACTTCTAAGTACCAAAAATAAGTACTTTAAGTACCAAAAATGGTTATTACTTAAAATACTAACATAGTTTTATTATCCCTTTTCTAAATAATAAATATATTGCAAACATGCACTTCTCTCCATTACTGTATGCTTTTCAAATATTTAAGCTTAAGGAAAGTGGAAAGGAAAGCAAGACTGGGTGCAGAAGTTCACTCTCTGACTCCAAGGAATGCCTTTGTTAAGACTATGAAAACCTCATGTGAGAGGGAGCACCACGTGACAGCCATTGTTTGTACAGATGGTATAACAGGATCATTTACATTTTTTATCCCCAAAGAAAAATAGTTTTAGGTCGAAGAGGCTGGCAAGACCACAGGCCTTTGAAGAGCTGTAAATCCTTCCTGTGCCTCTAGCTGATAATTGTTGGGTTTGTTAAAAGTAGCCCACACTCAGAAAAAAAGAGAAGAGGGAAGGAAAGAAGGGTGGGAGGGAGAAGGAAGACGGCAAGGCAGGAGAGAGGGGGAGGGAGATTCACTTTAAATCAATGGCGGAAACATTTTTCTAGTTACGAAGTCCCTGCACCTAATGGAATGGTCACAGCACTTACCCCCGGACAGCCTGACTCAGGGTCTGAAAGCACATGGCCGGCTTTCTTACAAACGAAAGAAAGGGTTTCTTCACAATTTTTAACTTTCCAGTGTCCCTCCTAAGGGGAGAAAGGTTATAAGATGAATGAAAAAACTCCATTATTGATTCTGATAGGCAACATTAGTTATTTTTAATAAAAATATGATAATAGTAAGTGTTTCAGGATGAGGTGGTGCGTCAGTTAGTTCCTCGTGTTGCCACTGGAAAGGGTTGATGGCGTCTCTGCATGCGAGTGGGAGGCCCTGCGCCCTCTCCTGCGTAGGAACAGTTCCAAGTCATGCAATCCCAGACTGGTGGGCGGGAAGGGAGGAGCAGCTAATGTTTCTTCATTGGGTGCCAGGCTTAGCAATGGGTGATTTTAATACATTATTTCAGCGTTGCTGTGAGGCAGGCATTATTATTTCCATTTAAAGGTTAGGTTTACTACTTTGCACAAGGTCCTGTCATCAGTAAAAATTGGAGCTAGGATTTACATTAAGTTGCTAATGTAGACAGAGCAGTGTGTCTCTTAAGGGTGCCCCAGAATCATCTGAAAGGGCTATTAAAGCACCAAGGACTGGCTCCCATGCCCAGTGCGTCATATTCAGCCGTCCGGAGGGGGCCTGAGAATTTGCATTTCTAAAGGTTTTCAGGGGGTGTTGATGCTGCGGGGGTGGGGAACAGCTTGGAGAACCACTTGGATGCAACCATCCCCTGAGCAGGTGAAAGAGCTGCTGCTTCTCTTCAGCCACATCTAAGTGTCGAACTGAATGATTTGCCTCTTACATGTATGTCAACCTGACGCTGGGGAAAGGCCTGGAACCTGCAGTGAGTCGCCCTAGGGGACACTACCATAGCGGGACTTCCTGTTTGACCCCAGGGTTCTTCTTCATCACTCATTTTCCAAAGCCCCACCCCATTTCTCCTTATATGTTTAGACGCCCTCATGTCTTCTCTTAGTTCTACTTAAGGCTGCTCTCACGTTCCTCATTAGTAATGAAACACAGTAACCACTAACTAACTTTTTATCCTCCCAAAGCATTTTTTATTTTGATACACATCAGACCTTTAGGTTAAAACCACACAATTCAAATTTTAGGTGGTATCTCAGGCATGCAGGATTTTAGGGGAATATGGAGCCCTTCTATGGCCCTCAGGTATATACTGAGTAGGCAGTTGACTCCTTCATCTGTAGGAGCAGCCCTGTCTCTTTCCCACAGAGTCTTCCAGCAAACCACCCAGTTACAAGAGAGTGTCAGGCATACTGTAGTTGCTTAATACCAATTGGATGGATGAATGAATGAATAAATAGTTTCCTAGGCTCTCACATTCAAATTAGGCATCAACCATGCTTAGGTAACTTGTTAATTATAATAATTATATTCATATTGAGTTCTACATAACAGGAATAAATTTTCTTTTTATGAATCTGCTGTTTAAGGAGCCACACTGTCAAAAAGGGGCCACAAAATATTACAGTTACAGCAGCATTATCCCGGCACATCTAATAATATGAATACCTATCCTCACTCTCTTAAAAATAAGTTTCTGTGCAAATGTTGACTCCTGTTCTGTGAACATGCTAAGAGGAATGTCTGTTAAATAAAATAGGAGAATGTCAGTAGGAAATGAAGGCCATCTTAATTTATACCCAAACCAACAAACTAATAAACTGTGGTGGTTTTCAGCAGTTAGACCCAAGACAACCATTCAGAGGTCATTGTTTGCCCCTCCTCAGATGTGACCCTGGGACACTACCACAGTAGTGGAAACTGCACATATTTGGATAGTACAATTACTTTGCCAAGCTACTAAGTAACATCTAATAAAGTGCTTCTTGGGGGAACTCCATGTGGCGTCCCGGTGGTTAGAAACAGTGAGGACGCCTACCAGATCTTAATCATCGCCGACTCAGCCAGTGAGTCTGGCAGCTATCTGATCAAAGAGACTTAAGTCTATTCTAAACATATAATAAGCCCTTCAGATGTCTTGGGATTAAGCAAATTCTGTGTAATCAGCTATTTTAGATAAATGAGAGACTAGGGATAAGTATGGTATTAAGGCCACTGGGATTACATTAATGTGAGGGAGAGAGCACAATTTTCCATTGATTCACAATTTTCAAAGAGATTACACATACAGTTGAAATCCTTTTATGTTAACAACAGAATGGAGCTTAAAAACCATCACTGTCCAGGTTAATTTCCCGACGCTTCAGTTCTCACCTTCACCCGGGTGGTCGATGGCACCGCCGTCCACCAAAACGGTGGTCACTCTGCCACACCCACGTCTAATTTAGCAACATTCCTAACCCCCCCAAAGGATCCTGGAATCTGTCTGTCTGTCTCCATATTCACTATCTTAATTCAACTACTGCAGTAGCCATCAAGCTGGTTTCTCTGCTTTCATTTTATACCTCTCCAATCTATTCTTTTTGTAGCAGTCCAGTTACTTTTAAAAATGTGAATCAAATCCTGCCCTTCATCTCCTTCAAGCTCTGTAGTGGTTCCTACATGAGCCTATAAGCCTCACATTTTGCATTCTTCTGGCCCCATGTCCTACCACTCCCTCAACATTCACACCTTCAAGCCACACTGGTCTCCTTTTTTGATCATTAAACATGACAACCCTTAGCCTCCTTTGGGTTTTTGCACCAGCTGCCTCCTGCCTGAAATGTTCCTCCCCTGTTCTGTTCTTCAGGAGGATTTTTTTATTTTCCTTTAAATGTCAGTTTAAATGGGACCTCTTCAGAGAGCCTTCCCTGACTGTCCTGTCTGCAGTAGCAACCCCAAACCCAGTTCTCCATCATCATATCACCATTTCCTGAGAGCTCTCATCACAACTATCATCACCATGGCTTTTCTGTGTGGTCATGCTTATTGCCCAGCGTGGGGGCCCCACGTAGGGCAGGGACTGGGCCTGTCTCCATCTGCCTTAGCCCATGTCCCTGGCCTGTGTGGCCCTCGATACAACTATAGCCAAGTGAGCATTAAAGAAACAGATTGACTTACAGATTGCTCTGCTGAGACACAGAGCTGGCTTCTATTTGGAAAAATTTGGGGCTCAAGTGAGTGCCAATTAGTAAAGGTGACGGAGGAACCATTAGACCATTCAAAGGAAACTGGAATTTTATTGCTGCTCAAACCAATCCATGTTTCTGATGCATTTCCTGTAAGAGATAAATGTAAATTACTTACAGGAATCCTATTATATGCAAAGAAGATAACATACTGAGGCTATTGCCAAACCATAGCATTTTTGCATGTGATTTCTCCTTTAATTCTTCATGTGATAAAAACTATTTAAGCCTCGGTATAAAATAACTGCTTAGCCCTTTTCCTCCATACTATCCTCTCTGCTCGAAAGAGGCCTTACAAGTGCAAGGGCAAAGCTTCAAAGCCAGTCAGACTGTTGGGACCCTAATTAGTTCCCGTGACTGTATGGAAAACAGAGCTGAAAGGTCTGGTTTTGCTTGGGCCGGGAGAAAGGAAAAGCGGGTTGTTTTTTTGTTTTTGGTAATGGTTTTTTTAAATTAAAAATTTTTTTTTTTTTTTTTTTTTTTTTCTTTTTTGTTTTTTTTTTTGCCACAGTAAAAAAGGAGCAGAAGCTCTTAGAAGCTTTGAAATGGGAGCGATGGGTTTTGGAAAAGTAGTTTGACAGCCCAGGTAGGATGAAAAGACTCTAGGTGCTGAGAGTGGTGTTTGAGTGTCCCTACTGAGACACAGGCAGCAACCGGAGTCTTTTCATCCTGAATGCAAAGAATGAGGAAAAAATGACACAGAAGAAGTTTTAGTTTCACTAAACTAAAACAATATTGAAAAAGACATCGGGGTACACTCTGGAGGGTGTTTTTCATATTAAAAAATTTTCTGTAAGTCAGCGATTTCAATGATTTCCAGCAGAATTCTATGTCCAATATATGACAGGCATAGGGGCAGACCTGCCCCGAGGGCTAAAGCTGCGTGGAGGCTGGGAGCTTGGAACTCACTAGTGTGGCACCCAGCTTGGAAGCCACACCAGATAAATTCCCATTATTTAAATTTAATAATTTGTCTGAGGAACTCCCCCTAGGGCTTGCATCACATGACCAGAGCACGCTACTACCGGGTAGCCACAAAGCTAAATTACAGTGCAGGATTTTTATGAAAAATTTTAGGAAACGACCTTTGCCCTTTAAAAATATAAAAACATCTAATATATCTGACATATGTGAAATGTTACAAAGTTTTTGAGCATGTGTTTTGTTAAAACCCAGTGAATTCTCACACCTGGATAATATTTAGAAACGTCAGTTACATTTGTCATGATCATTTTCAAATAGCTTACTTTCTTTTCAGTTTCACTAATAAGATAGTCACTACTTTATATTTCATGCCTCTTAAAGCAAAGGCGTTTAGCACTCACCATCTCCAAGGAGGGTTACAAGAAACTCCACCTCTGCTAACGAAGCTATGTCTGTTAACGCGCTGTTATTAGATTGGCAAGAATGTAAAGCTTCACCCCAGGTCCTTTCTTCTTTCTGAAGTCTGTAGCAGTTATGATTGTGGGGATTCCAGCCAGGCTCACAGTGGGTAGCATGGTATTTCCAAGCATCTCTTTCTTTTAAACCAACAAAACACAATGAATGTCATTTTCTACGATTTTTTACCATTACTTATTACTTCTAATATGAATTAAAAATTCTGAAAAACAGAAACACATGAAAGAATAACATAAATCATAGATTCTAGATCTTCAGAGTTGAGAAGGAACCAACCTATGATCTAGATGCAGATCTAGGATCTAATGCATCTCACGGCTCCATTTTCCAGACGAAATAGCTAAGGCACAAAGCGGTAAGGAGACTTGGTGAAGGTCATCTAACTAGAGTATAGAGTCAGGGCTAGATATAAACTTTAGCAGTTAGAGTTGGCCATTTAAAAAAATCTTTTTACACTGGGAAAGGAGTTCTATGAAACAATTTAAATGATACGCCAAGGATTTTATGTATAGTATGTAGTTGGGGGGTAGATATTTACCACCAGCTGAAAAACTCTGAAATTCTGCTTACTTCCTCTAGACAGAGATGGCAAATAGCTGTCTTCTTGAAAGTCGGTCTGAGTGCCGTGGCGCCCCTCGGGGCTCACATGGGCTCTGGGTTGGACTCACCGGGACACGGTGATGTGATGCTTCGGCACTGGAGGGGGGGCAGTGTGTGCATCGTTTGGCTTTCCTTTTCTAGGGGCTTGGCTCCAGCCTGGTGACAGCATTTTATTAAGCACAACTGGGTGTCTCCTTTAAGCACTAATTTTAGTTAGATATAAGTCCATTGCTAAACTGTGCTAGGACTCTGACAGCAATTAGAATCACAGTCGAAGAAGGTTAGAACATTTAGATATCGTTTACCCCAGTGGTTTTCAATGTAAAAAATTCAGTCATGGAACCTCTTTTAAACCTTAAACTTTAAAGGTAAGATAAAAAGTTAAAAGGGGAAAACTTCTCTGACCCAAGCCAGGGTGAGCCAAGCAAGGGGGTCCTGGAAACACAGCCTGAAGAGCCTGGACTAGATCATGAACGTGAAGCAACAGCAAATAATCCGAATTCAGCTTGATTACTCTCTTTCCGGTCTTTGGACCTCAATTAGTAGACCCGCAGAGTAAATAAAAGAAGAAAAGGAGGGTGGCAGGAGGGAGTGCGGGAGGACGTAAGAAATAAAAAATGAAGGAAGAGATGGAGAAAGGAAAATGAAAGAAGGAAGCGAGGGAGGCAAAGGGCAATAACAGCGGCAGCAGTTTCAGCACATTCTTGACGTAATGAAAAATTTTCTAGATTAAAAAGCAGTATGAAGATTCTCCCCGCTACCCCGCATTCTACAATACCCTTAGGCTTAGCCGCTTAAAGGAGAATAAAAGCTAAAGCCTAGTTGTAAAGGATAATATTTTAAAATGATAATTCAGCTTACTATTTTAAATCTAGAGTTTCTAATTATGTCGGTATTGGCTCTTTTACAAATGGTTAGGTTTTTATCTCCATTTTCTCAGTTCAGACATTAATTCCCACAGAAACAAAAGAGAGGAAATAGACCTTAAAAACAGAAATAATTGGGCCTCAGTTACTAGATTGTAATGAGGTAGTATTTAAGTCTCAGTTTCATCTAAAAGTTTTGTATGTGATTTCAGGGAAGAGGATACATACTAATAAGAGATACAGAGTGTGACAGGAGATCAATCAGGTGGAAAATTTTATAAACTTATTCTTTCATTTATATTTAATTTCTACAGTAACCATAAACAAAACTCAAAGCCAGAATAGAAAAGGAGGCATTATCTTGCTTTTCTAAAGCAGAACAACTACGAATGCGCATTTTTTAAAAAAGAGGCAGAAAATGTTTTCTGTGGTTAGATTATTCTGCTTTATTTTTTAGTAAAAACCTAAATGCATTTGTTAAATTCATGGTGCCTTTGGAATAACAGATATTATCTAGTTACACATTTTTACGCAGATAAGTATAAATACTAGCCTTAACTAAGGCTAGTTTAAATTATGAATTACCAGCAAAAACAGAAAAATTTTAATATATTGAGATGATAAGTAAGCAACTCACAAAACAACTTAAAATAGAACACTTACCAGTCACTTCCTGATCAGTGTGATTTAAATATTTTTTACATATATAAGGCAAGGGGGACTCACAGTCCCGACTCCTCCAGGCACTTGGCATTTTTGGATTAAATGTTCCACAGTGATGTTCAACAAATGGCTCAAAATTTATTTCTGAAAATACAATGTGTGTGTGTTTAATGTCAGAAGCAAAAGCAGTTAGTTGAATATATGTTGAAATGTAGTTTTAGTAGCATTAAGGACAGCCCTTCTTTTTGGCATGTATAGTAAATCCTGGAAGATGTTATATCTATGATTCTGCAGTTGAAGTTCAGCCATGACAATGAAATGATTTCCCAAAAGATAGGAACAGATGATTTCTTTGTTTATAGAAATATTTGGCAATTTGTTCTTATTTTTAAAACAGTGGACTGAAATCTTGGCTCTAACCCAATTCTCCTGCAATCTTGGCTAAATAGTTTTACCTTCTTGGGCTTCATTTTCTTGTTGGAAAAGCTTGCCTTACAGGAATCTAGGCAAGCTTGAAAATGTTTATAGGTTACTTTGAAATAGCATGACAGATGTATATGGGAAACACTGCTTTTTTTATTTCTAAGTGTCATTAATATGCAATCTTATATTGGTTTCAAATGCACAACACAGCAGTTCAACAGTTACCCGTGTTATTACCAAATCCTCACCCCCTCCCGTGCGGTCACTGTCCATCAGCTTAGTAAGATGTTACAGGATCATTAACTGTGTTCTCCGTGCTGTCCTGCCGTTCCCGTGACCAACCTCTGTTGGGGAAACACTGCTTTTTAAGGCTGTGCGTGATGCCACCCGTCAAAGGCACATAAAGTGCCGCGGGTACCTGGGTTCCAGTTTAGGTAGTTAAGAGGCGCTCTATCAGACCACTGCCAGCCGGCATTTTCACTCAGCTGATTCAGGCCCATCCATACTTCCACGGCTTCACTGCTCAAGTGCTCTGAAATGAAGAGAAATACGAAGTTTCAAAAAGGAAAAAGATCAATGTTACACTTTTTTCTTGTTTTTCTATTCCTGGAGCAGGCAGTCATAAATTAACTCCAGTCAACGACAGAGAAGGGCTTAAGTGCTACTAAGCCTCACCCTGGCGCTTCAGAGTAGCCAAGCCAGCCTCTGCCATGTTGAGAAGCACAGCAGCCCCTTAAAGGCTCCCTGACAGAGGTTCTTCGGCTGTGAAGTGCTTAATCTAAATATCCCGAATGCTGCCTCTCAGTGGCCAGCAATCCATCCAAGAGTGCGTAGTTATAAATAGGAGACCTTCGGATTTGCGTGAACCCACGCGCTGAAGGGTTTTACAGCAGGAGGACATGCCCTGGGCCACTCCCAGAAAGTGCTCCTCAGTCTTCCTTCTCTCTCCAGGGGTGCCTGGTGGCAGCCTCAGCCCAGAGGCTCAGGACTCCAGTGTGCAGAGGCCACTGCTGGCCCTGAGCAAGAGGAACAGGAAGAAAGCCTATATAATGGGTGTGTGTATGTGCACATAGACTTTTCTATACTTTGCAATATTTTTTAAATATTTCATAGTTTTTCTTTAAGAGAAGCTTTTCTTTAGAGATTCGTCGAGAAAGAGGAAAGCAGATTAGTAGTGTTCGTAAATGGAGGCAAGTTTCCAGTTTAAGACACTGTGCTAAAGCAAGCAGGGCAGGGGCTGCCCCGTGTGAGAGCCACTGGTAGGAGTTCCTGGTGAAGAGAAGCAGTATAGTCCAAGGGCCCGGACTAGCCAGAAGAATGACAGCAGGTGGGGCTTACGCAGTGCCAATGGGCGAGACTGCTGTTCAGTCTGGGATGGGAGAAACTTTTGGGCAGGTGGGCTCTGTGGCTGTAGCTGCTGGCCACTGTCCCACAGCTCCTTACATTTTAATTCAACACATAGATGCTGTGTATAGGCATGTGCATGGACATGCATGTACAGAAAAACATGGTAAGCAAAATTGTAGAATTAGGGGAAATTTTTCTTTTCGTATACCTGCATTTAAAAAAAAATGATTCTAGAATAAATATGTACTAGTGATGCTATGAAATCTGGGGATAAAAGCTGTGGCAGGAAAGTTACTCATTTTGTTGCCATTTAATCTTTTAATCTATAAAAGAAAACATTGTTTTTCTTATGGTCCATCTGCTTCAGAGCCCATTTTATTTTGAGCCCAATGCAGGGGCCCTGCCTGAGACTGAGACCTTGAGCTCAGAAAACTCACGGTTTATGCTGGTAGTTGCAGAATAATCATTAACCGCAGCCCCTTTTTCTCTCAAAAGTCTCAGTTTGGATGATGGACTGTATGGTCATGCAGGTTATAAAAATCAGTGTATTCACATCCTCTGCGATTGGGCATTTCAGTACAATAGCGGAAAACTGGAAACACCTAACTCACTTAGTAAAGAGACAAAGCTGCTTTATAACTTTGAGACCCCAGATATCCCTAAATGGAAACAGCATAATATTCATGGGCTCCACCCTTCCATGCTTTTGTGGCATCAACACAGAGTCTCTTTGAATGTCTGGTCATCCTTTAGAGAACATTTGATTAAATCATACAAGGTGTATGGTGATGACAGGAGGCAGAAGGGAAGATGGATGGACAAGATAGAGAAATTTCCATATTTTGTATTAGGATGAGTGCTAGGTGAGATATTTTCAAATAATTTAACTAAAAGTTTTAAATATTATTTTTTCTTGGAGTTATTTTGAACAAATACCCTCTGTGCAATTGTTTTAACAACACAAAAAAATTGTGTAATTTATAATCTGTGTTTAAGGGGACAAAAACAGTCTTTTTAGCTTTACAACTAACTTGACTCACAATTCTATAATAACAAACTCAAACCTATGTTCTTTTGGATATTTCTTGGCATTTGTGGCAGTTTAGATAATTCATTATATCATAGTTATTTAATGTTCACCAGTGATTAGCAGGAAAGATTAGACTTGTCTCATCATTAAAAAATACCTTGGTCAGACCAGGCTTCCATCTTTATGAATAGACTTCTGATTTCCTTAACAATCCCCAAAGTCTAACTATAGAATTGTAGTATTTAAATCAAAGTCTCTGACATATCTTATTTCTTTAATCATTATTCAAGTTTGATGAGTAAGTCCAAGCTTTCGCATTAGAAATCCTGGCAGTCAAGATAGATAACAATTGTAACTCATAAATGGTGTGCACAATTTTTTATAAAAACCATTAAAGACTAATAATGATACTGGAAATTGGTGTTTTCCTGCAATATGACTCACTCAAATCAGTTTCAGTGATAATTTCCCACTTTGGCCTGTCTGTGGGGAAAGGGGAAGGCATGTACTGTTGATGCATTTGTTACAATCCTGCTGGACAGTATTTAAAAATGACTTCCAAAAGCCTTAAATTGTGCTTCCACTTCCACCCAGTGAATCCCCTTCTATAAACTTACAGAGAAATAATTGGGGATGTGTGCACAAAGTGATGTGCAACATATAATAGCAAGAAATAAATAAATAAAAACAAAATAATTGATTATATCTATCACTGTCTAATAGTAGGAACTTACATTAAGTCTATTATTGCTAACCTATAAACTACATAACCATTAAAAATTATGATACAGAACTGTATTTATAGACATGAACACATGTTTATTACATGCTGATAAATGAAATAAGGATATTAACAAACTGTGTGCGTAGTTGTTAAATGGCTAACACACACTGAGTGTTTGTGATGTGTGCCAGGCACTTTTCTAAGACTTCACCTGCATGATAACATGTAATCCACACTGCCAAAAAGTAGGCATTATTTCCATTTGACAGGGGGGAAAGTTGGGTGGAAGGAGGTCAAGTCACTTGTTTGGGTAACTAGTAAGTGGCAAAGGTGAGATTCAAACCCAGGCAGATGGTTCTCTGGTCCCTGCTCCAAACTACTATGCAATAGCTGCCTTTATTTGTTTATATATGTATTTACTTATGTCTCATATTTGTTCAACACTATTTTTCATATAAACATGCATGCATGTATTAGGTTTTGCAGAAAAGCATAGATATCTCTGGATTGTGGAATTATGGGATATTTTTCTTTCTGTATATTTGAAATTTAAAAAATCATTCTAGGATAAATATGTGTACTATGTGGGCAATAAAATTTGAAAAACAGAAGCAACAGGACCTTTAAATAAAAGTGACTAATTTTGGGACACTTTAAAGTGTTTCCAAATGGTTTTAAAAGCTGTAGGTACATATATACAAACACATTTAATGTATACAGGAGAAGTAAGAGGAGAGTTCAGGTGGTAGGTGAAAGACAAGACCGAACTCATTAGCACAACTCAGCTGCCATGTTGTCATCTTATACTGTTAGTTAACATGTGTGTGCTTTTGCTTTTCCAAATAAATTTTAAGTTCTTTGGCATCCACCAGAAGGCCTTCGAAGTACCTGCACACAATGGCTAACATGTGACATTTTTTGTGTAACTAGTAAATGGCTTAATTTTGTTTTAATGGAAACTGAATGGCTAAGATCTCCAGCAGAGCAGGAATCCAGACTTCAAGACTCCCAGATCCACTTGCAACAGCTGCAAACACTCATGCTTCCCTTGCTGGGGCCTCAACTTCTCTTCTCCATGGCAGAGAAAATAAGGAAGATAAGACTGGGCGCCAAATGGAATCACCCAAGCTATAGGTCAAAATTCTGGGTGTAAACAGGGACCATATTAGTGAAAGAAAAAATGTTTTCTCAGGGACTGTTTTTTCCAGAATATGTTTTTGCATACATGGATATAACTGTTAACAGTCATTTCAATTGTTTCAGTACCAGTGTGCATAATCTGCCTACTTACCCCTTACGAAATTCTCTTCAGTCTCATCTATAATACTTAGTAAAGCACCTCCTTGCATCTGGCATGAAGAATGTGCCTTGCTCCAGGACAGAGTTGAAAGCAGGTTGAATTGGTAGCAAATGTGTGAATTGAGATCCTTCTCCCAGACAGCATCACAACCCACCTCTGTAGATGCTGGAAACACAGTCCATCAATATATTAATTCTTATCTTATTTTATCTATACAGCAATTTGTTTCTAAGATGAATTTGAATGAAATGATTCCAATTCACAACCTCTAAAACTTCAGTGCCTTACCAATTCTTGATTAGGACCTTATGATGAAATATGTATTGTTATCCAATGTCATTTGTGGTTAAACTCTTTCAAGATTTACAGTAAATACAAGAAATTATCAATAAAGAAGCTCTGATCCTTTAAGGAATATAGTAGAAGCCATTTTTAAAAGAAGGAAATAGAAGTGAGGTATTTGTGAAAATAACATTTGAGTTCTTTAAAAAGCAGTCATTTAGAAATTTCTCCTGGCAGCTATGTGAATTTAAAAGTTTACTTGCAATACATGCAGATATTTTAAAAAGCCTTCCCCTACCCCCACCAAATAAATACCAAAATGCTAGATGGAATGAAAGAGGCAGTTGAAATATGAGTCTGTAATGAACAGAAGTTTTCAAACAAACACAGAGAACAGCAACAATGAAACTTAGTTTCAGAAAATTCTTTAAACTAAAAGGAAGAGAAGCAAAGTTCACTTGGAGACATTGGGCAAGGATTGCATAGTATGCTTGAAAGTAAATTCAATATAGTATGAAATGTGGATCTGAAATCTGAAGTTTACTGAAATAACAGAAAGTAAAGACCTAGTTTTGGTGCTTTTGCTAAACTTTTAAATCAAACCCCAAGGTAACTATGCAATAATGACCTAAAATCCAATCCAGACCCCAAATTACAGAATGTAGAAAATGTGAACCACGCTACAGCATGAGTGTAACTGATGAGCAGGCAATATGCTACAATCTAGAACAGGCTTCTCCAAAGAGTGATCTATGAAGTAATATAATTTCAAGAGCTCTCCAAGGAAAGCTGGCATAGAATACATATATAGCCCCCTCTGGGAAATTCACCACGTACACTAGCATATTAAAGGCTTTGAGAAGTTCTGTGGTAAAGAAACAGCATAATTTTAATTCAGTATACTTCAAACTTATTTGACAATGAAATCTTTTTTGTTTGTTTTCTTTTTCACATAGGACTTAGATGGTTCCCTTGGGAATGCAGGAAGTTTGTTTCTGTGTCTGGTAGCAAGGTGTTTTCCCTGGAACTGAGTTAATTAACCAGAAGTTATTAAGCCACATATAAATCTAAGGTAGTCTACAGAGTTTCCTGACTGATACATGCATTTAGAAATATCTAAGATTGAAAGAGGGCAGAGGTCAAGGCTATCACCAAGTAAAACTGAAGGAAGGGGAGAGAGAGGAAGGAGGAAATTCCCAGTGAGCATCTTGCCCTGGAGGCTGAAATTTCCCCACTGAGTTTGAAACCTTAGAGATTGTCTTCAGCTAAAATGCCAGGCCATGCATGAGATGGACAACACGCTAGGAATTATCAGTTAAACTGTTTATCCAGCATGACAGCTGAGGCCGTGAGAGAGGAGCCAGGGAGTGTCTACAGTTTCAGTGTGCATTTAGCCAGCTTGTAAAATAAGATCCAGATTCCTTGTTCTCAGTCTCAGGGACTCTGTATTAGTAGGTCTAGGGTAGGACACAGGAACTTGAATTTTAAACATATTCCTGATTCTAATTCAGATGGTCCACAAATGGGAAATACCAGCCTAGAAGAAAAAATTAAGTGCGTTTCCCAAGGAGGGCAGGTCTGAGCAGCCCTTGGATGTCAGGGGGAGATGTAGGTAGAGAATGTCAGAAAGAGAGACTGGGGGAGCTCTCAGAAGGGGATGTCTGGGACTGGGGTTCCTGCTTCTCATCTCCTGCCACGGGGAAAGATTCAACACTGAGTCCTAAGTGCACACCGCCAGGCCACAGCCCTACCAGGATCAGGAAAGGCCTGGAGGACACTTCAGCATCTCTCATCCTTGAAAAATAAGAAGCAAAAATACTCCCTCCCTTGGCCTCCCCATTCTAGACACTGCCTTTTCTCTCCCCCTGTAAGTCAGATACTTTTATATCCATCTGTCTCCAGCTACTCATCTCCCATTTACTCTTTAAAAAATAACAGTTTTATTGAGATATAATTAACATGCCATATAATTTATCCATTTAAAGTATATAATTCAGTGTGTTTTAGTATATTCAAAGCATTGTGCAACCGTCACCACAAGCAAGTTTAGAACATTTTTGTCATCCCACAAAGAAACCCAGTACCCATGAGAGCCATTCCCCATTTCCCCCTGAGCTCCCCCCAACTTCCAGCCCAAGGTAACTACTAATTTAGTTTCTGTATTTACAGATTTGCTTTTTCTGGACATTTCATATGAATGGAATTATACAATATGTAGCCTTTTGTGGCTGGCATCCTTCACTTGGCATAGTATTTCCAAGGGTCATCCATGTGGTAGCATGTGCCAGGACCTCATTCCTTTTTATGGTCAATAATATCCCATTGTATGGATATATTACATGTTACTTATGCAATTACCCATTTATCCTTTGATAGGTGTTGGGTTGTTTCTATTTTTTTTTGGTTATTATTAATAATGATGCAATGAGCATCTGTGTACAGGTTTTTGGTCCAGAATATATACCTAGGAGTGGAATTGCAGGTTGTGGTAACTCAGTGTTTAAACTTCTAAGGAACTGGCAGACTGTTTTCCACAGCAGCTGTACCCTTGCACAATCCTACCAGCAGTGGATGAAAGTTCCAGTTGCTTTATATCTTTGTCAGCACTTGTTACTACCTGTTCTTTTGATTGTAGCTGCTGGAATGGGGACCACGCTTTTAGAAACACTGAGATACAGGTTGGAGAAGGTTGGACAGAAGAACTCCAGTGGGGAGTTCCTCCTAGGTAGGAGGAACACCACTGTACAGAATGGACTTAAAAAAAGATGGGCTTAGACTCAGGTGGGCTTAGAGGTTAGGGAGCAGAAAACAGTCAAAACGCCCCTGTGATGGATCCTGTTTTCCTTATGAGGTAGGAACTGAGGTCATCTAATGAGATTCAGGAAGGAGAACGAGGTACAGTTGGAAGTTCAAAGAGGATAGAGAGGTTGGTAGGTCACTGTGGGGACTAAGAGAGCAACATGACACGAGCAATGACAGTGTCTGTGACCAGTGCTGGGGCCTCAGGTAAGGCTGGAGACCATATATCTCTTTTGGTACCAATCTGCTCCATTACAGCATTCAAATTACTGATGAAACATTGTATTTCCTGTGTAAGTTTCAAGAGCAATCAGGTAACTCCAGAGGTTGGTATCTTAAGAATGTCTCAAACTAACTAAACGTGACCCTCCAGCTGTGTAAGACACACAGCCAAGAAGACCTGGGATGGCCCAGAATTGCCTCTAAACAAACCCAGAGAGATTCCTGCATGTCTCCCTGTCCCTGAAGATCTATAGTGGTGGGTGTTTGATCTCATCTCTCCCTGCTAGTGTGCTTTTTGCAAGTGTTTATTAGCACTTATTTAAAATTTTGCTCACTTACAATCAACTTTTTAAAGAAAAGGCAGCATCATTTTACTTTGAGAAACTAAAAACTTCCATGTAAGAAAGATGAGATTCAGAAGTATGAATCTCTATCCCACTCACTCTTCTCTGTCCTATTCACTTTTGACCCCTATGGAAAGAGCTGTCAGCTTGCTCAGATTTCAGTCTCTGATGCATCATTTTGAGTTATGTTGGCAACCAGGAACCAAAAGTTACAAGAAAGGAAGAAAACTGCAACTGCAATTTAGTGTCGTACAAATAAACATGCTGTCGGCTGCTGTGGTAAAGGTCAGGAGAGCTGGAATCTGGCAGGCTGTCGAGCGGAGGAAGCCTTTGAGCCGCAGGAACCTGAGCTAATCCATCATCAGGAGAGCAGAAGTCCTGAGCACCACTGCATTCGGGCTGCCACCCGGGAGCCATAATTGGCTAAAAGACAGAAGATGGTGACAGGCTCTTCACAGAACTTTAAGGACACTGTGGTTTGAAAAAATGTCCTAGTAATATGGCCATGTGAAATACATGATTATTATTACTTTGGTTTATTTTTTAATAATGACATCTATTAGAGATGAAAATGGGAAGAGAAGATGATGCAAATAATATGACATCTGAAGAATCCAAGGGGTACAGAGATCACACACACACACACACACACACACACACACACAAACCTACAAACAGAGAAGGCTGATGATCCAACAGTTATTAGATAATGAAATACCTCCATGCTGGCTGGTGAGCAGCTGCAGTCTGAGCTCCTTGAGTGCCCCTTGCTGCCTCAGTCTCCCTTGTACCTCCGGCCTCCTCACATGCCAGCAGTTCAGGGGTTAATATCAGCAGTGGGCCTCCGGGACCCCTACCCCCCACCTTAAAGTCTCCACTTGGATTGGTCACTAGCCCATATACCATATTGGTTATTAAATGTCTTACTGTCACCTCTGTCTATAGATGTATGTTGCATAGAATCACCTCCTGTACATTATAAATTGTTGGATGAAGAATTATCTGCAACAGGATGGCTTGGGAGACTTGTCAAAAGATGCTGGGGTCCCACACGTTTGAGCCACTGCACCTCTGAGTAAAGGGCCAAGATAAGCATTTTAATCACCAGGCTATCCACTGGCTGACTCTAGAGCATCATATAAAAAATGATTTGTCTTTTTTTAGAACAGAATCTGTCTTTTATTCCATCTAGAGGTCAAGTTCTTAGAAGAGAGAGTCCTAAGTCCTAACCCTCTTGATATTCACCACTGTACCTGGCTTAGTGCTGTTGACGGACAACAGAGAGGGGGGATCACTGACGCAGTACATCCCGAAAGGGTAGGGTTGATGATGGTAAGACTATGATGATGGTGGTGCTGATGCTGAGAGTGATGGCTAATTCTGGGGACTGCTTAACATGTGCCAGGTACTGTAATCTAATTGGAGCCTCTCAATAACCCTATAGGTATTGTTATTATCTGCATTTTACGGTGAGGAAACTGAGACTCAACATTTTGCCATTGAAATGAAGCAGGACTCCAGGCTTGGTCTGTCTGAATGTAAAGGCTGTGATCTATCTTATTCACTGAGCCGTACTTGTTCTTAGATTAGAGAACAACTCTAGGATAACTAATAAATCAGATTCTCTGGCATTAATCTCTTTAATTTGCTTTTCTTTCCAACTAATTTTTTGCATTTTGTTATATATATGGAAGGGAGGTAGATATAGAAGATGACGAGATTATAAAGGCTATACCCTCTGACTTACAGGAACCAAGGTGAAGGAAATTCAATCTAGAAAAGTAGAAAGTATAAATAATATTCCCCAATAGTTAGGAACCATCAAGAACTTTTTAGTTAAATAAAAATAAAAAATAAGAAAGTACTAATTGAAAAAAAGTTAGAACACTGCAACTATCACTGGACCTTGAAAATCGAGTTAAGAAGAGAAAAAGATTTTGAGGTTATAGCTAGAAATTGAATAATAAGGAAAGGGAATCGAGATGAGAATTCACTGTCCAGAAATAATGAGGCAACTATGATTTTAGAAAGATCATGAAGGGGCCAGCTGATGCCTGGACTTGACAATGGGCAAGAAAAGCAGCCTGGACATGGAGAAATTAAGGCAGCTCATGAGAGGGAGTGGATTGAAAGTGGATATAAAGCATGAGCTTTATATGCATTCAGGTTTGTTTTTGAAGAATTCTACCTGAAAGCTGGAATTAATGAGCTCAGAGAGTACTGTAAGTTAATTTTGGTTAAAGCATCCTTATGCACTGAGCTTAATGAAGAATGACTAGTTAACATCTTTTGAATATAAGGAAAAGAAAGAATATACATCCAAATTGTCTTTTCAAGGCAAAACAAACACAAAATCAAAATCTGGATAAATGAAATCAGAGTGCTTATTCAGACTTCAATGTGTCAATCCTGGTGCTTTTCTTTAGATACAGATAACTTTCTAAGCATCCTAGATTCATTCATAACATATGGGGAAGACTAGATTTTACTCTTACTGGGATCTGGGCAAAATCCCCACTTCTCGTCTCTTTCATATCGGCTCGTTGTAGCACACCACAGTGAGTCACCTCCCCGCCCTTCCCGGGTACATTCATGATGCCACCGCTGCTTGTACTGGAAGGGAAACATGCATGGCATCCCTCGGGCGTTCCCTTTGACGGTGTACAAATCTAGGAGAAAGAAAAAGACAAAGTCAGATAAGTATTATATCAGCTTTATCTTTGAAAACTGCCATCCAGTGAATGCATTTTTTATGGACTGAAAACCTCCAATGGGCAAGATGCTCACTGTACCACAAAGAACCCTCAGGAGTTCATTGTCTAGTGTATATAAAAATGCAAGGCTTAGTACTGGGTTCAGAGGACATGTTGCTAATGGTTTGTTTATATATTATCTACTTGTTTATTTACTATGGCATACTGCTACAGTAGTGTAGCGTACACATTTGTAAATGGATGGGAAGGAAAATTAAATGGAGATTTTACTTTAAAACATCTTCCAGTCCCCAAATACATCAGGGATTGGCATCTGAATCACAAGAGTTTCCATAGGCATTTACTAATTTATTCATTCAACAGGTATTTATTGAGCATTTAATGTGCCCAGCTCTGGGGATATAATAATGAACAAACAAGCCGATGTTCCCTTTCATGTGGAGCTTCTGTTCTAGTGGGGAGAGGCAAACAGGAAGGGAATATACAAGGGAACGCGTAACTTCAGGCCGTGATAAGTGCCATAAAGGAAACAAAGAGGGTGAGAAGACAGTGTGACTGTGGGTGTGCCTATGAAGGGGGACAGGGGCACTATTTTGGATGGGGCGGTCAGTGAAGGCCTCCCTGAGTAAGAACTGTGTGAAGGGAGGGCGCAAGTCTCTGCAGAACAGTTCCTTCCTGGCAGAAGAAACAGCAAGTGTGAAGCAGTGCGAGTGAATGGGGAAGAGTGGGGAGGAGCGATGAGAAGTGCGGTCAGGAGGCAGATTCCCAGTGCATCAGCTCTGCCACATTGTGACTTGGGCCTTTGCTCTGAGCGTGGTGGGAAGGAACTGGTGAGTTTTGAATGGAAAAGTGACATGGTCAGATTTCCATTTTTAAAGACTAACTCAGGGTGCAGTGTGGCAAACAGAACCTCCACAGGGAGAGGGAAAATGGGGCGACTAGCTGGGAAGCCTCTACGGTAGGTAGTCTAGGAGAGAGGGGACTGGTGAGGTGGCTGCTGGTTGCTTTCTCAAAGTATTACAGTAATCAGTCATCTTGAACTTTAAGCAGGAATCAACTTATCATGACTTGCCGGGAGTGTTCAGTGGAGAGAAGAATCAGGACCATCTCAACCAAGTCAGTGGGTCCTGGAGCGAGATGGCGGTCTGTGATGATGCCCACCCCCTTCCCACAACTGGCAGGACACAGACAGATCACATGCCCCATTGCCATTCCTAGAGGGCAGGGCTGCTCAGGAACTACAGGTATTCTGGGACACATTCCTTTTCCCATCCCCTGCCTTCTACTCAGTCTTCCCTTGTGTGCATGTAAATCTGAGGATATGGTTAAAGAGATAGCAAAAAGCAAAATATCACGCTCTTCCTTAGATGTGTAGGCTACTGAGAGTGCTGGCTTGCAACATTCACTTTATTGTAGTCAGTCCTCGAAATGGCTTGCTCTCTTCTGTCTTTACTCATTTCTTGTACGTGCAGGAGAAAATCTTGCTTTGGATCTTAGGCGTTTATCGCTCAGCCTCCTAGGACTGCTACAGAGTTCTTAGAAGGATGTCCTCTCCTTACAGCATCATTGTACAGAGCACCAGGAGGGCAGGGGCCACTTCTGCCTTGTTGGTCTTTGTCAATCAAATGCCCAGCACTGTGTCTAAGAAACAGTCAGAGCTCAATCAATGTGTGATGGGTGAATGACGAGAGCTACAGACCAAACGCAAGAGACAGGCGGGAAGTTTCAGAAGTTAACTGGGCCGTTTTCCTTCTTTTTGTTTAAAAATGCCAAATGTTGTGTGACTATGGAAAATGAAAGCCCCCACCCGGAAACCATGCTTTCTCACCCCCGACACACGCCAAGGACCTCCAGACAGTGGTCTGGCTTATCTTGAAATGCCTCATAACATGACCAGCACATGGATGCCAGCCAGCCAGCCAGGCATTAGGCAGCACTGCGACGCGGACACGCTCCATCCCCTGGGCTGCGTTTCCACAGAACAGAAATGTCGGCAGGAGAGGTTCTTACACTCACCCTGACAAGTCTCTACTTCCAAGACTTGTTATATACATGGACTTGTTATATACTGTTACCTTCACTGTTTTCCTCTCCCTCCTATCCTTCTATTCTTTCTCCTCCTTTCCCTTGGTTCCCGAATGTAAGTGTTCTCTCCCCAGTACCTTTAAATTCTGAGGTCTGCTTCTTTAGAATTTAGCAAGTCCATTTCAAGACTCCAGTAATCCTTTTATAATTAGAGAGCAGGTAGCCAAAATATATTTTGCAAAAGTCCCTGGAGGTTCTTCTGGGTGCTGTCATTTAATAGATTTTACAAATCTTTATGTAGGGGCAAACTTTCTAAATATATGGTTTCATGAACACTTTGATTTAAATTATTGTTTACCTTTGTGCAGATATTCACAAATGCCTCCACCGTCTGACATGTAGGAAATCCACTTGTGAAGATATTTCCGAGAGGCCACAAGGGTGTTGTCGGGATTCACCTGGACCATGTACTGGAGCGGGCCGAGGATCCTGTTTCGACTGCAGTGCCATCTCAAGGAAACATGGGTGGCATCACACTCGAAGATGCTTAATGGCTGCTCTGGGTTAGACAAATTCAGGCCCAGGCAACCGCTGCCTCCTACGTTAAAGAGGCGGTGGTTTGAAACCCATTTCCACAGCATGTACCCGTCCGGTGGCCTGCAGCTCTCTAGAGTCAGTACGGACCTGCCTGCTCGAATGCATTTCTTGAGGCTCTCGCTTTGGATAACAAAGATTCCTTTATCTGAAACAGCAAAATAGAAGATAATGGCATGAAACTTGGACGTACAATGACCAACTGGATGGACAGAAGGGATTGGTAATAATACTCAGGGCTAGCGGGGAGGGACACTGAGTACCCACAGGTATGATGACATTCTGGTTTTCTTTAGACAAGCACCTGCATGTTAGGAATGCGCACCAGATCAGGACCGCTGAAATGAACCTTTCTACTACCGAATTCCTTTAGACCAAGAGGATGAAAGTGAAGCGCTGCTCTGTGTCTTGACACAAGGGGCAATACAGGTGAGAAAAAAAATGCTTCTCCACATGTGCTGTCTGCTCTGAGTCCGCCTGGAGTAGGAAGGTGGGGACATTTGCCGTGGGGATGGCCTCTTCACAGGATCACAGGAGCAGCCTCCCCGGGTGGGAATGGCAGCAGCAGATAGACAGCCACCAACGGAGGCCACTGACTGAGCCCTGCACCATGTACAGACACACAGGAGGTGTTGGGGCCCCATGGTGGTGGCAGGACCACACAGGCCACAGGGATAACGTGGAGGAAGCAAGCTTTTGTGATAGACCTGAGCCTTCAACCCCCTGGAGCCGGAAGAAGAGATTTGGGCATGTGGGCTGCAGCCAAGGAGCACATGTTAGCCGCCTGCCAGCTGGCTGACTTCACCTCAGGTTGCGGGCCTGGAAGTCGCCTGTTCTATAGCAATTATGAGCTTGTCCTTGAGCAGGTTTTTGGAAGGTGGGAATCATGTCTAATTCCCTTAGTCTAAGCACAGAGTGTACTGAGCACACTGTGGACATTGTAGCAGTTCAGCAAATGCCTGATGTGGATTAGGCTGGCAGCTGCCGCTTAGGCCTAGGGATCCTGAGGTTGCAGAATATCTACGCAGGTCCAAGAGCTCTTTTGTTCTCCCATTAGCGAGGCTCTCCTCATATATTACTCCCTGTCCATCCTTCAGATATCGGAAGGGACATTGTCCACTTCCCTTAAAATGGAGGCGGTTGAGGGGATGTCGTGTTAGGAGGCGGGGGCAGTGCAAGGGTAGCCAGTGGCCTTCAGGAGATCTGAAACAGTGCGGAACGCGAGCCTCCTCAGGTACCAGGGTGTGGGAGTCGGGCTTTATTTTTGTTGAAAGTTCTTCTGGTTTTTCCAAAGTCACTCAGGCCAGGAACT